AAGGGATTGTGGCATAGCCATCCTCCCCGAGAGGTGATTTCTTGCTTTCTGTCTCTCTGTCTCTCTGTGTCTTTCTGGCAAGCGTATGTGCCCGATAGCAAAAAACTCTAGAAAAAAAAGAAAAGAAATGAAAGACTGGGTTACATTTAGTTTTACTTTTAATTGAGTTGAATATGGTTTTTCTATGAAGCAATAAATGTATCATATAGTCTTCAGAATAGCCTGAGAGTAACAGACAGACAGACAGACAGATATCTACATTATAACAATGAATAAATTGTCTTAAAGAATATAAGTCACTTGTCTAAGATGGAAAATTCAAACTGAGACTTTTCTACTTTGTCTAGTGTATCTAATATATAGTCATAGAAGAAATTTAATGTTCCTCAAACTACACACATTTTTAAAAAGCACATCATATTTTGTGGTCAGTAACATTTTCTATGCCAGACACTTCATTGTAATTCTACTTCTTTCATTTAATTTACTTATAATTTCCTCTTTCTTACAGATTATTCCCTAGGTAGTCACATTTCTCTTATCAAAACCTTATGCCAACAGTGTTTTAAAATGATCTCATTTATTTCAACCAAAATGAATCTTTTTGTACTTCACCAAAGTCAAATGAGCTGAATAAGTTATTCAGTATGAAGGTAATAAGATAGCGAAATATTTTTATGAGTTAGATTGACATATTCCTTCTGCCACTCAGGGGACATGATAGGACATTCTTGTTCTACAAAAATGTTTTTACATCATCCTGCTATCATGTAGTCCCTATGTATGAATGTTTCTAAAAATATCCATTAAAAACGTTGTGTTGTTTTTGCCTCTGGAAAAAATTGCATAGAGAAACCTAAAAGGAAAACTAATTTCCTGTGGACAAATCCATAGAACTGATCGTTTTATTTTAGTCTCTCTATATTTTAGAGTACAGGATATAGTAATTTCTTTGAAATAGTCTAAGAAACTCTCATGCCTCTTATGTTAATTATCTAACCTCCTTGCACTATGTAACATTGATTTTCAAGTGATTAACAAAAATGTCACATGAAATTAATAAATCATGTTGCTCTTGGAAGAAGATTCACTCAGCTTACAAAAAAGGCAATGAATAAAAGAGTCAATGCAAGATAGATAGACAGATGTAGATAGTTACATAGGTGGGTATAAACATCTACGCCCACAACTACTTTCCCAAAAAGACTATAAAACAACAGATAAGAAATGCATGGAAATGCATATTTGATACATAGAAATGAGAAAATGACACACACAAATTCCCATTTAAAAAGGAGAAAGAAGCCAAAGGAAAGTGGTCCCAAATAAGTCCCAAAGCCAACAAGGAAAACGATCAATCTTTTTTTTTTTTTTTAAGAGAGATTTTTGCTATAGAGTATGTGCATTTGCTGGAGAGACAGAGAGAAAGAGAAAAATCACTCCCCAGGGTGGATGGCCACGCCACAATCCCTTCTTCGCAATACATTCTCCTCTTAAGATTTTGGGCATGCATGCATATGCACCTGGTGTGAGATTTAAGCCACTGAGTCTGGGATACGAACCATGATCAACTACATGGGAGTCCAGTGACATAACCATTGCACCATCTGCTGGTCCCAACAATAAATTCTAAGTCTTGAGAATAATCTGTTAACTCATGCCCCACTCACTGGGGACCTCAATGTGACAACATGGATGAATCTGAAGGACATTATGCTGAGTGAAGTAAGCCAGAGGTTGGATCTCCAAAGCTCCAAGAAACCCTGCCCTCATGGAGTTGCCAGGTCCAGTCCACTCAGCCTCTATCATACATGGGAGTCCAGTGTCTGAAGCTCTGCAAGGCTCAAGTTGTATGTTGAAGGCTCTTGGGACCTTGGGTCCAGGACTCGAGCTGTGGTCAGATATGTGGGAGCCCAGTGACATAATTGTTACACCATTTGCTGGCTTCTCAAATACCTTTTATAATTGTACCTAATTTGTTATTTTGAGCTCTTCAAACTTACTTCCAGTGAAATTGAAGTCATATAATGGAGACATTATATAAGAGCTTCCTGAAAAAAGGAAAACGATAGGAATAAAGTCTCCATATTGTAAAAATATAGAGAGATTTTAATATCTTAAATTAACTTACAGAAATGTTAAGTTAAATGTTATTAAGTTATAGAAATGTAAGTTACAAGGGCCAGCCAGTGGCTTGGTAGTAAAGGCAGCTGGATCCCACATGACTGGCTGCAGTCTGTCTTAGACCCTGCAGCTTGAAAAACACACCAAGTGTGTGTGTGTGTGTGTGTGTGTGTGTGTGTGTGGTGTGCCCAAACTCCCAAGAGAAAAAAACAGAAGACATTGAGGTATGGCCATCCCCCTCACTTTCCCTCTCTCGTTTCTCTGGCGAGCTCTCTGGCAAGTGTACATGTCCTACAGAAAATAAGAAAAAAAAAGTTACAATCATACTTGATATTTAGATGATTTAAATACTGTGTTGAAATTGCATTCTCAGAAAGATAAGGAAAAGTTGTTCGGAAACTATGTAAGCTCTCTGACCACAGAAGTACTAAGGACAAAGTGCATTTTTGAAATATGCCAGATAGACCAAAGGTCTTTAAAATTAAACTATACATGCTTTGATCCTTGTTGTGGCTTAAAGTTCTAATAAACTTTTGTCATTTTTCTGGCTGCCCAACGTCTGAACCTCTTTATGTTTGGGGAATTCTTGACCTTGTGAGATCTGGTAGGAAGGAAAAACGGTCACCCAGTATGAGAGGAAAATTCTAGAAAATCAATTTTCTTCCTTTCTCTGCAGGCAAACATGAGTACATGACTGCATCTCACTCAGCTCGTCAGAAGCCTCTTTCCTCGAGTTTGAATGGGAAGCTAGAATGTACGGGGTCAAGAGTGGTAGAGAACCATCCTGACACAATGGCAGTTGCTCCAAGGTAGTGAAGGGGACTACAGCGATGCTGTGCTAGCTCTGCTCAGAGATGACAAACTGAGGCATTGGGGATTGCTAACAATGACTATGGTGTCTTCCCTTGAACAAATCTTTGGGGTGTGTGTGTGTGTGTGTGTGTGTGTGTGTGTGTTTAAATTGCCAAGGGTGTGTGCACTGGATTATTTCACCTTAAAAAGGAAGGAAATCCTCCCATTTGTGACAACATGAATGAACCTGGAGGACGTTAGGCTAAGTGAAGTAACCCAATCACAGAGGCACAAACATTGCAGGATTTTACTTAAAGTATCCGAAAGAGTCAAACTCACAGAAGAGAAAATAGAATGGTGAGTGCCAGGGACTGAGAGTGAGAAATGGGAGAGTAGTTGCTCAAAATGTATACCATGTCAGTGATGCAAAATAAAAAAGCTCTAGAGGTCTGCTGTATAACAGAAATTTTGTTACAAGAATACATCTCATGTTAAGTGTTCTTACCACCAGAAAAAGACACGTGCGCTCACGTGCCCACCCACATGGAAACTTCTAGAGATGATGGCTATGTTTATTACCTTGTAGTACTATCATGGGTGTCTGCATGTGTCAAACTCATCAAATTATACACCTTAAACATGTAGTTATTATTGGATATCAGTTGTACCTCAATCAAACTTCAAAAAAAAATCAGAATTACATTTAAAAAATAGTAGTAAAAAGAAACATGAACAGGAAATGCCTGGAAGGAAACAGTTCAAGACTTATTACCTAGGCCAGGAGAACAGTAATGGGAAGCAGTCTGTGGGATGGACTGCAAATAAATGAAGTTTGCTTCTCAGAACTGCCACCCACAGGAGAAGAGATTTAACTGACCTCCATTCAACCAGATTAAAGTGACAAGGTGGTGGCTGGGATGCCATGCCCCAGGAATCGAAGAGCCATGAATAAAAGCTGGGAAGTCTCTCTTCCTTATCCTTGAGTGATGGCAGGGAAATACGACCCCTTTTGAGATAGAGTATAACTCTCTACAACAAGAAAACACAGTCTTAGTCTTCGAGCACTGGTATGAGCATGCCTTTATAAGATCCTGACTGTGGAATAGGCTTCAGGTGGCCCTCTTTGGGTAGAAGGCAGAGCCCAGGTTTCTGCCTGAGAGGTCAGTCTGTATAAAAGAATTAGAGGTGTCTGGGGGCTTGGGGTGAATAGTCAGAATGAACTCCTCTAATTGGCAATGGGTATAAGAGACTGGGAAGAACTAAAACAATGACAGTTGTCTAAAATCACTGGCTGAATGATTTCTGTGCTAAATCTGCCATTTCTCTTTCTCAATCTGGTAGAATTTACGTTCTTTATTGATGCTTCATCAAGCATATTTTCTTTGTGGAGGACAGGTGTGATGCTCAGTCCTGCTTTGAGTTTACCATAGACTGAAACCCAGGTTACATGTGGAAATGGACAATATTGAGTTACCTTCCACTTAGTCATTCTGGATTTACCATATTTTTTTCTTATTTCTTATTACCATATTTCTCCCAAGAGTCCTTGGGAGAAACCAGCAGATGGTGTAATGGTTGCGTCGCTGGACTCCCATGTAGCTGACCATGGTTCAAGTCCCAGACCCAATGGTTTAGAAAAACTCATGCCAGGCACATGGACATGCATGCCCAAGATCCTGAGAGGAGAATGGAGAATAAAGGATTGTGGTGTGGCCATCCCCCTAAGGAGAGGGAGGTGATTTCTCACTTTCTGTTTCTCTGTCTCTCCAACAAGGGTATGCAAAACTCTCTCAAAAAAAAAATAAGAAGAATAAGAATAGAGTCCTTGGGAAGGAAAGGTCCCAAGAAGATACAGCAAAGTCAGTAGGGCAGGCCCCAGGGAACTCTTGACTTGGATTAAAGATGGTCCAATATAGTCCAGAAAGCTCTCAGGCTTTGTGGCATTACAGATGGGAGATCCAGTGACCTGAAAGAGATAAGCTACAAAAGGTTTCTTTCCAAAATTCCTTTTGGAATGTGAGGCTTATTGCCATAATTTTAAAGTCAGACAACCTATATCCCTGTTCATATGAATTTGTTATTTGCTAGTTTCCAGCCTTTATCAAACTCTTTTTCTTCTGCAACTGTACTAACCTGGTCTGAGTTGGGTTTGTTCAAAGGAAGACCATGTTCCAAGGTTAGGCCAGAGAGATAACAGGGCAACAGCCCCTCCCTGTGGCTACATGGTAGGACAGCACCCGATTAAACAATGTGTGGGAGGTGTAAGCTTCAGTTTTATTGTCTTTAAGAAAGTTGGCATCTCTCTAGTCTCACAGAATTACAGCTCATGAGTGGAAATGTGGAGAAAATATAGGTTCAGGACACCCACTGATGTTTTTAAAGCCATGAACATATTTTGACATAAACACTATCATATGCAATCATTTCTTTGTAAATGATTTTTTTTTAGTAAAGCTTTCAGACACGTTGGCATTATTTTTCACCTGAGTATATGACAGGAAAATGTTTAAATCAATACACAAATCAAATCATCTGTACTGGCATTGTTAATCTAGAAGAAAGTTGCTGAATAGAGGATAGAAAGAGTATTTAGTCTATACTTGGCAGAGGGGCTGGATCATCTGAAATAATAAAGTTGTTCATTAGCAGAATTTCTCAAGTTAATGTAGATTTTATGCTATTTGATAAAATATAGCAACAATGAAGTTAAGTGAGTTGTTTTTTTTCTCTCTCCATCATTTGCTTTAAGAGATAAATCCTGAGAGATTTCTGGTGTCAGACAACCATAAAATGAGTGTTTAGCAATCAGGATGACTTAACTCATGGTAGCTGGCACATGTGTAATTACAATTTGCATTCCAGTTATTTAAACTGAGATATTCTTGATCAGGTTGTACATACTGAGAGTAGAAAATCTCTTTCCCCAAGAGATAAGAGGAAGAGAATCTCTGGAGAATGGCCTCACTGAACTGGTAAGTTAGCTTTCTTCGGATTTTGGTGATTTCCCCAGTTCTTCCATAATTCCTCAGTGCCCTGGCCATTTTCTGGTAAGTCATGGTCTTCCGGTTGCCTTTTCTTTTCCCCCAAAGTTCAGCAAGTTTTTCTTTGTTTTTCGATACGAACTGGAAGATGCCTTTGGTTCTGTCCACCCACTGAATACAAGAGGCCATCTCAGGATTACACAGGGATTCGTGAAGATATTCAAACAGTCGGAGCTTCTTCCTGCCTGGAATGGAGGGAAACGATGTCAGGCTCCACCACAGCTGTTTACAGAGAACATCCGCAGGAAGGGTTTATTGAGTAACTAAGGAGTGAAAAGCTACCACGGGGGCAGTAGTAACACAATGCTCCGGGATGCTGATATCACATGGGAAGGCCCCAGGTTCACATCCCCAGGGATTCCCTGTACATGCTGGTCACCATTATCTGAGCTGGCTGAGGATGGGAGCGGATAGTGACCTGGAGGGCCTGTTGGAGTTGCTGTCTCTCATAGAATATTTTTTTAAGTTATTTAATTTTATTTATCATTATTATTTTAATTTGCAGAGAGAGAGAGAGGGAAGATGAGAGAGCAAGCCAGCAGGTCAAGAACTCGAACAGTAGTCAGCACCTTAACTACCACCCCACCTGCCTGCCCCTAGAATACTTTTCTTTAAAAAAAAAAAAAAAAAAAAAATGCTGCATGGCAGGCCAACCAGTGGCATGGTAGTTATCGTAGCTGACTCCCATGTGACCCACAGCACTTAAAAGTCCCTGTCGCAGCAGCTGGAAAAACAGGTCAGTGCCTACGCATGCGTGTCCGGGGTGATTTCTCATTTCACCCTGAGGCAAATTGAAAAGGAAAAAAAAAAAAAAGCTACATTAGGATTTATTTTCCCCCTACTGAACCCTTTAGGAATGGATTAATGGCACCAATCTATGGGACTAGATGTCTCTGGTTTGTTTATTTGTTTATAAGCCAGAGGGTGCAAGAGACAAAGAGACAGAGAGAGTGAGGGAGAAAGCATCCTTCAATGGGAACAGTCAGGCCGCAATCCCTTCTCTGCTGTTTCTCCATCCTATTGGGATGTTGGGCATACATGCACACGCACGGTTTCAATCCTCCAGGGCCAGAACTCCAAATGCACAGTATTGTGACATCTGACTCATGTCATCACCAGACCGGAGGGGGAGGGGCACCAGCCCTGGTCTGTTGAAGTTTCAACTGGCCATTTTTTTGCTGAGGAAGTTGTCAAAAATTGTGTACTGTCATATGTCCTTCCCAGTTGAATCTTGACTACTAAGTATCTATCGTGTTCAACTTTCTGCTGAACAACAAAACTGAGCCCAAGAACTACAGAGTTCAGTGGTTTTAAAGAGAAGTCTCAAAACCAAATATATAAATAAAGAAAGCCTCAAAAAGCCGTGTCCAGAAAGCAAGTCATTTGAAGTGGTTTTATTCAAATAAGTCAAAGGAGGTTAGGAATGTGAAAGCACTTTGTAAAATGCAAAATAGTATGCAAATATAAAGTAACAATAAGGAATTTAATAACCAAGTCTTAGGTGAAAATGCTGTCTGAGTCAGCACGATTACTTGGGAAACAGAAAACACTAGAGTGGAATTGCCAAAAATGTTTTGTACGTCATTTCGATATCACTGAAGGGATTGCGGCGTGACCATCCCCCCTGGGGGGTGATTTCTCGCTTTCTGTCTCTATGTCTCTCTCTGTCTGTCTGGCGAGCGCACGCGCCGCGCCCTACAGTGAAAATCTCTCCAAAAGAATTTAATAACCAAGTCTTAGGTGAAAATGCTGTCTGAGTCAGCACGATTACTTGGGAAACAGAAAACACTAGAGTGGAATTGCCAAAAATGTTTTGTACGTCATTTCGATATCACTTATGAGCAATGGCGACGGGCATTATGATATTTTGCATTGCCGTGAAATCAAATGGTGCTGCCAGACTTTGTGTGTATTTAGGAACACAGCCATTTATATTTCAAAATAAACTAAACAGGAACCTTTGAGAGGATTTGTAGGGTATGTTTGTTCAGTTGGTAGGATTTCTTTAGCCTAACAGAGAACAAAGGTGACAACCCATTTGTGACTTCTAAATTGGGCCTTAATACTATGCTCCCCTAGACTTATCAGTCGCCGAAAATGCAAGGCCAAGATTCCATTTTTCCCCTTGAGAAAGTGGAGTAGTAGATTCCCGAACTGTTTTACATGGCCTCTAGGGAGCAACACTCACGTATCAGGCATCACTCATCCAAAAGCTCAAATATTTTTATAATTATCTTTTGGATTATATTATCTTGAGGTTATGAATTGAGAAATGAAAGGGACTTACCAAAAACCACATCATGAATTAAAGCTTTAGCCTTAAACAAAACTGTCCTGTGAGTTAAGTACAACCTCTTTCC